TCTGGTTGGGGGTCTCCTCCTGTCTGGGCTCTGGTTGGGGGTCTCCTCCTGTCTGGGCTCTGGTTGGGGGTCTCCTCCTGTCTGGGCTCTGGTTGGGGGTCTCCTCCTGTCTGGGCTCTGGTTGGGGGTCTCCTCCTGTCTGGGCTCTGGTTGGGGGTCTCCTCCTGTCTGGGCTCTGGTTGGGGGTCTCCTCCTGTCTGGGCTCTGGTTGGGGGTCTCCTCCTGTCTGGGCTCTGGTTGGGGGGTCTCTACTCTCTCATGTCTGTGTTCTAATTGGTCTGTTTCCTCTGCAGTGTACACAATCTGCAGCCAATGTCGTACCCGGATGAGGTGGGTCCCTCGGATATGGACAGCCAGGTGCAGGAACAGGAGCGGATGATCACCATTTCCTACGCTCTGGCCTCAGAGGCTTCTCGGCGCAGCAAGCAAGTTGCAGGTGAGAAGGGGGAGGGGCCTCGTCCTTGGTGCCGGACATTGTACCTCATTGACCGCTCCGGGATTGTTTGGGAAACTTCTTAAACTTTCAGACCCGTGTCCCTCAATGAGCTTCAACAAATAGATTTCATGGTAGAAGAAGATTTTCTCCATGAAACTTTGAGGGACAGAAGCAGTCCAGCTGAGGGGTGGGGAAGAGCCACTGACGAGACCAAATGAATTTGGGAAGCATCCGCATTCCAGAGGTATCTGAAGGCCCAAATAGAGAGTAGATGAGATGAAGCCCTCTACAAGACGGGGGACTGCCCACCAAGGGGAGGGCGCTCCAGACCAGGACAGGGAATGACCCCAAGGGGAAGCCTGAAGAACCACAAAGTCTTCACCAGCAAGAGACTTGAAGACCAACAAGTGATGGGGGCGATCTGCGGCTGGGGACTGCCCACCAAGGGGAGGGCGCTCCAGACCAGGACAGGGAATGACCCCAAGGGGAAGCCTGAAGAACCACAAAGTCTTCACCAGCAAGAGACTTGAAGACCAACAAGTGATGGGGGAGATCTGCGGCAAGGTTCCAGCGTGTTCTGCCTGCTGACCGTCCAGGGGGAGCTCAGAGCCAATCAGAGATGGACATTTCCTTCCATATAGGAAAGGAGGGGCACTCAAGTATTGAAGCCTCACTGCTCAGAGTGGAGACCATCAGTTGAGAGGATCTTGTTGTAGGAGGGACAGTGCAGTCAGCGCCTTCCAGCGTAGGGACCAGGTCACTGGACATGTCACAGGGACAATTCCCGAACCTTGGTGGTGAAGGTCCTGCGGGGCTCAGGTGATATGCAATGTCAGAATGTTGACCCCCCAGAGGGAACCCTCCAAAGAATCGGGAACTGTCTGTTTTGGGGAACGAATGGAAGTTGTAAGTATTAGGCTGCACCTATCAGAGAAGTCCGCCCAGGGTGGGGGAGTCCCCCAACCACCCCACAAAGCCCAGGAGGGGGAATTCTGTAGGAGATAGAGAAAGCTTCAGAGGTCTACAGGGAGAGGACTTCCACAAGGACCTGAGCCGAGCAGTCCCGCGCATTGCTGACCCGAGGTTCCCTCGGAAGCCACATCCACATGAGGTCTGCAGATGATGGGCCCCTCAGAAGTGCTACAATAGTCCAGAAAACTGACCCTCTTCAGGGAGGATCTCCAGAACATTCCAGTGTGGACACCAAGAAAGAGCACGAGGGTGGACGCAAGGACCAGGGACTGGTGAAGCTGGAGGAGCCGGAAGAGAGTCGGGTCCTTACTCGGGAAGGGAGCAGTAGGGACTCTATAGGTTATGAGGAGTCTCACGTACTGTGACGGTTACAGCCACATCACAGGGTACAGATGGAAAACTAACAAGTAGGAGTCCAGCCTCCCAGGACACTAGCAACACACGGCATGCTGGGTAGAGGAGGAGTCATAGGGGGACTGGCCATTACAAGGGGGCTGGCCTACAACTCGTCTGTTTGGTCAGTGTCCCCACCTCCTGTAGGCCGCAGTATAACCCGTCTGTATCTGAATTCCTGTGTCTGTCAATGGACGATGGAGAAAGCTTCCCCGTGTCATTTGACCAGTGCAGGTTTGGAAATGAGGAGGAAGTAACGGATATTATGTGTGAGTGTTGGAGTTCACCTGCAATATAAACTGTCTGTGATCCGTTGCAGCTTCTCACCGGCCAGCACACAGCGGACTGTCCTCCACCGTAGTCTGAGCCACGTAAGACTGCGTATTGTGCGTGTGACGGCATGCTGAACGCCGCCACAGTATACGGCTCTCTCTTCTGAACGCATGACCTCCATGTTTCTGGGTAGAGTTTCCCTTTAATAATCCGCCTCATATTCTGGCAGACGGCGCACATCGGCGGCGTCATAAACCGGCAAACAATCAGATCTGGAAGCATGCCAGTTCCTATCACATGACCTGTTCCTTGGCATTGGTCATGTGATGAAGTCTGATCCGCGGGGGAGGTGACAATGAAGGGAGGTCCGCAGTTCAATCTCAGCCATTCCTGTACCAAACCTACAGAATTGGGGGCGGGGCCTGCAAAATCTATTGTCCCCGATCTGTGAGATCTCTGCATGTGTGTGTGTGACCAATGATCTGAGCCGCTGTACTTCCCATATGTAGAATGTCTGTTCAAATGAACACGTGTCTGTGTGCTGTACTGTGTGTTACATGCGGGGTCCCGTGTGCTGTACTTTGTATGTTACATGTGGGGTCCTGTACTTCGTATGTTACATGCGGGGTCCCGTGTCCTGTACTTCGTATGTTACATGTGGGGTCCCGTACTTTGTATGTTACATGCGGGGTCCCATGTGCTGTACTTTGTATGTTACATGCGGGGTTCCGTGTCCTGTACTTTGTATGTTACATGTGGGGTCCCGTGTCCTGTACTTCGTATGTTACATGTGGGGTCCCGTACTTTGTATGTTACATGCGGGGTCCCGTACTTTGTATGTTACATCCCCCCAACCACCCCACAAAGCCCAGGAGGGGGAATTCTGTAGGAGATAGAGAAAGCTTCAGAGGTCTACAGGGAGAGGACTTCCACAAGGACCTGAGCCGAGCAGTCCCGCGCATTGCTGACCCGAGGTTCCCTCGGAAGCCACATCCACATGAGGTCTGCAGATGATGGGCCCCTCAGAAGTGCTACAATAGTCCAGAAAACTGACCCTCTTCAGGGAGGATCTCCAGAACATTCCAGTGTGGACACCAAGAAAGAGCACGAGGGTGGACGCAAGGACCAGGGACTGGTGAAGCTGGAGGAGCCGGAAGAGAGTCGGGTCCTTACTCGGGAAGGGAGCAGTAGGGACTCTATAGGTTATGAGGAGTCTCACGTACTGTGACGGTTACAGCCACATCACAGGGTACAGATGGAAAACTAACAAGTAGGAGTCCAGCCTCCCAGGACACTAGCAACACACGGCATGCTGGGTAGAGGAGGAGTCATAGGGGGACTGGCCATTACAAGGGGGCTGGCCTACAACTCGTCTGTTTGGTCAGTGTCCCCACCTCCTGTAGGCCGCAGTATAACCCGTCTGTATCTGAATTCCTGTGTCTGTCAATGGACGATGGAGAAAGCTTCCCCGTGTCATTTGA